ACTTTTCAGTTTCCAGATAACTTCTCTCTCAATACAAAGCGTCATGACTCCTCCTGAACACAGGGTTTCAGAGTTGAATGCATCAACCATGTTCTGGAGGATCCGTGTGAAAATCCTGAGAAAATGGTTCGAGTACTCGAGACGATCACGTCGAACTATGGAGATGGTGTTTTGTGATGACCAGGTTTGATCGATTTCGACTTATAATATAACTTGTCTATTGTTTGATTTGGGTTCGTATATTAACTTGCTCATCGTGTTATTATCATGAATTAAGGCCTCTTGACTCGTAATCGTACTGATTTCATATCTAATCTAGAATGGTAGATTTAAAATTTATATGAAGTGAATATCATTGATATAAAATATCGGCTTACTTGGATTGGCTTACAATACAAAATATATTGTTCATTGCGAATACAGTTTGGTGTTACTTAATAAGCGATTACAGCTGTTACCCTGTTAATGTTAATTATATACGGAAATCTAACGATTGCATGTTTATGAACTGGACATAACAGGGATCAATGATTCATGCTATTGTATCCAAACGCCACATTCACTTATTCGATGATATGTTCGAGGAGATGCAGTGGAGAATCGTCCAATTTTTTAAGGTAGACATATCATAGAATCTCCATGTCGTCCATTTTTTAGAATGCCATGCCATTATCTAGGAGTTTGATATTTTGTCCCAACGCAATCATTTGCAGATCAAGTAATTTGAGATGCCTTAGACTTGATGTGTACTTGCAAGGAGAGAACAGAGGACTTGTGAACGCAGTTACACAACTTCCATTACTGGAAGAGCTTGAGATCTCGCGTTTGTATAAGCCATTGGATTTGGAAAGCCATAGGTCATTCTTGTCCACTAATGAAGACACTGAAGCTAAACTGCACTTGTTACTCTGGCTCACGGGACGAAGGTCCTGATAATGATGCCCTTTCAATTGCAGAAAGCATGCCCAAATTACGCCACCTCCAGCTTATTGGGAACAGACTAACATTCTCCGGATTAAACGCTATTCTTGACCACTGCCATCACTTGGAAAACCTTGATTTACGCGTGTGTATGAACATCATCAACCTTTTACGGGGATCTTATGAAGGGATGTTTGCAGAGGGTCAAAGATTTTAGACACCCCAACGACTCAACTGCTGATTATCCATATCAAGCATTTTTTCTTAGTAGTTCAGATGATGACTCAGAGTCAGATGATGATGTTTTATTTTTTCTCTGAACGATGCAAATATATGTAGCTGATGTGGTCTGACCAAAGAACAATGTTTTCTATTTTTTAAAGTGACATGCCATATTTAATGTGATTTTATTAAGCTGTGATTATTTATTTATAAGCTTGATCTGTGAAACCAAAGGGAAATCCATTACATCAGAAATTAAGTAATGGTTTGATAGCTAATGTAGATGAATGCACCAAAAACATGTAACCAAAGGAACAGTGAGATAGAACTAACATGTTATCTCCCAACTCTATAATATGCCGACTAATCATCACCCCATTAAAAGGTAACTTCTTCAATGGATGAATACGTATAACCTGACCAATAACGTCTACATACATAAAAAGCACGGGGGAAATAAAAACCAAACCAATAAGAAGTATTACAATTAAGAACGGTAGCCACGAATATATATACATACTAACCGTATGCACAGAACCAAGATCACGATCACAATAAAATAACTAAGTGTATACCTATTAGATAAACACATCCAGTACATCAATACCAACCAAATATACCAAACAAAATGATATAACAAACAAAACCAGCCTATAATAATACTCGTAACTATTACCATAGAAGATAATAAACAAAGTGAACTATTAAGATAGAGACAGTATAAACGATATGTAAACGATATCGCAACAAAACAATGGATATAACATATAACATATATTAAAACCATAGCGACAAACCAGCAGGTATCGGAAAATAAACCTTGAATTAACATAAATCCAGCAGTATGAATGATTAAAGTACGAAATGAAGCAACAAAATTATTCCAATAGTAGACG